CCCCAAAACCCCAAAACCCCAAAACCCCAAAACCCCTTATGGGTAATTTAAAATTGAAAAATTAAATGAGGTCAAGATCTTCTTGTCTCCAACAACCTCTCACCTCAGCCACTGCTCCGAGGCTCTTATTATCCTTCAACTCTTTCTCTCTGATTCTCACTAAAATATGAGCTATGGATTTACCTATCTTTGTCTTTGCTCTTAGTCTATCATTAATCTTGGTGATTTCTCCGAACCTATCCTCTAAATATATGAAACCTGAATCTTACTTCTCTGTTTAGCTCTGACACGTTTAGTAATACTATTAGCTATATAAGTTAGGTTTAGCCTTAGAATTGGCCCTACTAAACATTTTTAATCATATTTGTGCAAATTTGTCCATTTTCTTCTTTTCCTGTCTTTCATCTAGTACAATTTGATCTTTCAAGCTGTGCCTAAAATTTGACCAAAACCTCACTTGACGACATCCTTTGTGTTCTCTAGAGATGAAGACAAAGCTTACCTTTATTTTAACGGAGGGTTATATCTGGGGGTCATACCAAAACTTACTTGAATTTGGAGAATTTTATCTTCTTTGGAATTATCTTCTTCAGTAAATTAGGAGAAAACCTAGGATTAACAATCTGAATGTACCTGTAAGTCTTAATGCCTAGAGTTTTAAGATTAGGAGCTTACCGGAGTGAGCTACTCTCTTCTCGACTTTGTCCAATATAGAGCTACTTCTTATCAGTCCATCGATCCTATTTTCAACTAGAGATTATAGGAAAAAGTACTCAGGTCTACATTCGGTGTACGATAGATGAGGTTCATCAGCATCTCTAATTTATTAGATTCATGTTTGCAAGTAAGATTCTTCCTACAATTATGAGATGCTTCAACAAAATACCTGGCAAGGATACCTCCTCTTCTTGGTCTATCTGTTAGGCTCTAAACCATTAGTTTCTGAAAGTTTCTTGGTCAAAAATTCTGTTTCCTTACCTTTTTCGCAGGAGAGCATCTGACTGATTTTGCTAGAAAATATATGATAATATCCAAAGAATTTATGGTCATATGACTGTAGCTTACTCGGAGAGCCAGAAATGGTACTTCTTCTCTGTTTACTCTTGCCAAACTTAGTCGTAATATTCTTCAAATCTTTATTTTTAGCAACACCTAAAAGTATAGCTTAGAGAGTTGGGCTAGAAATAGACCCAGTGAAGGTACTTACTCTTATGCCTTCTTAAGTAGTAAGGTGAGCTAGTGAACCCGTCGAAGCTCAAGACTTTATTAGGATTATAATAGTCAGCAACGTAAAGATAATTGCCACTATTTATATACCTTGGGGTAACTGGAGAGCTTGGGAGCATTTGGCCGAACCCTCCTTCCATGTTCCGAGATGTTTGCTGTGTCCTGTATAACCTGGGTGTATAAGCTCCTGGATTTCTCACTACTATAGGAGTTGAATGATTCCTTCTCTTATAAAGTTTACAATATGTATTTATGAATAATTTTAGAAAAAAGTTTGTCTTAAAAGTCAAGATATGAATTAAGGAAATTAACAGCGATAAATTAGGCCAAATAGTCTGTTATTTATATATTAGAAGGGAGGAAAATAGTAATCTAACCAAGATAGGTGTTTAATCACTACTTTTATTCTTGTAGAATTGTTCCATAATGTTTTTAAATCACTATTATTATATCTTGGGGTTTTGGGGTTTTGGGGTTTTGGGGTTTTGGGGTTTTGGGG